CAGTGAAACAACATTTGATCATGTCCAAGAATCTTTTTGAGTGTTTCACACTTAGACACACAGCCATTAAAAGATTGATAATATTTGAACACATAGGAAACAAGCCCTAAACCACTGGAGCCTCAGTATGTACATGAAGCAAAGAGAAGTTATCAAGAATTCAGCTGAATAAGCTGATAGTTACTGCAAAATACTTTAATTTTACCTGGGATTTATTTTTGCTCTTTTCGCTGAAGGGATAAAATAAGTAAAAAAAATACTGTCTTTTTCTACATTTCTACAGTCAAATCAGTCAAAATAAATTTTATACAAAAGAGCCAAAATTTATTCTCAGCAAAAATGAATTCCAGCGTAAATGGTTTATAGTTATGTGCAACAATAGTGGTGTTCTCATTGGACGAAATAAGCCGTTGTCACAACAATTTTTATTCAGCATATTATCTAATAATTGCACAACAAAAAAACAGTGTTAACATCAACGTTTTTTAGATGTGCGAGAACGTAACTAATGTTAAAACAAATCTTACCTCCTGCCATTTTTCTTTATTTTCTTTAATAATTGGAGTATCATACAAAGCTCTGTAGTGTTTACTAATTGCAAGATAGGAACCTTCATGTTGGTCTAGTTCAATCATCAACTTGTAATATTTCAGCTTCAGCTCCTGCAAATAGAAATATGCACACTCAACACATCACTGACTACAGTTGGTCATAGTCATTAATATACTATGGTTTTGAGGATTAATTGGAAACAACATTACTCACTTTGGAGTTAATTCAAACTGTGTGTTTTTATATGGATATACAACTTGCAGGTCAACATGATATCGATGCACAACTTACATGATACAGACATACAATGAGTCAAAATGATATAAACATACAACTTGCTTGCCAACATGATATCAAAACAGTATTTGCGTGGCAACATGATATCAATATACAACATAAAACTTGCCTGTCAACACAATATTGATGTAAAACTTGTTTGTCACCATGCTAGTGATTTCCTAACTCACTAACTCAACCAGATATAATTATAACAATAATTTACCTGTACATCGTTGTCAGTACTGTCATAGAATCTAGTACTAATCTTCTTACTAATGATTTGTGTTCTAATATAATCTTTATTTGCAAGACATAACCTCATCTGTTCCAAAATAAACTCTACTTTTTCCTTCTTCTCCATAGAACCGAACGTTTCCACCTGAAATACAGATAGGAACACACTAAGTTACATCAAAGATTTATAAAATGGGGTTTTGCAAGTAGTGTGATATGCGAGGTCTAACACAAACTGAAGAAGTTGTGCATATTGCGACATGATCAAACAGTCGCATTCTAATGCAAGTTTGTGAAATAACTGGGTCTCATTCACCTCACTCCCTTTTTGGTAGTGACGATACTTATTTGCAAATCACGCAATATGATCATCTCACTGCACTCACTTCCACTGACATGAACTTTGCAATTGCCAATCACGATTAAACAATTCTATAGGCAATATATTCATGAACATCAAAAGTAACCAATCACCATTCAACACTTATGCACCTGGAGTTCTTGTAAAATCTTGGCTGCTTCTGTAATGTCACCTTGGTCTTCTTTTATCTTGGCTAACTTCATGGTAAGTCTGGCTCGCTCTATTTCAACATAGATCTACAAAAGCAACAGAGGTACTGATTAGTTTGTTATCATTCATAAAAAAACATTCAATTTCATTATTTTTAGTGGGTTTTTAGTTCCTGAATTTGTCAGTGAAACAATAACTTGTACCGGTATTCATTTGAGGTGAATTTTATTTGTCCACAAAAATAAGACCCGGGGTATTAGTGATCCAGGTGTCAGCTACATGTATGTCACAGAAACATATCTGGGCGAGAGAGATGAAAAAAGCATTTCATTTTACATATGTGTTGCTGTAGCTGAAAGTTAACACACTTTAGGCTATACTAATTTTATTCCCCACATCAAGGGCAGTATACAGCACTACGGGCATCAATGTGTTAATACATGTACAGGTATATAACATGGCCAACTTTACAGGGGTAAATCGTGATTGCAAAGAATGCCATCATTTGTCTAGTGACAACTTATTTTGTTCTCATCTTTAATTGTAACACAAGGCCTGTTGATACTGTTAAATACCATTCATAATGGCTATATGGGGAGATTTTCAGTAGGCCATGTGTTAAATAATAATTTATTTAAACTGCTATATTAGGATCAGCC